AACTAAGTCTTGGCTGCCAGGTTTGGTGCTTAAACTAGCTACCACCTACACACCTTGAGAAAAAGAAGAAAGAGCAGTTTGAAGGCAGGAACGAGGGAAAAACCCCACCTCGCCACTTGACAGGCTCAAACTGCCGCTGCCAGCCACCCGTGAGCAGGGACAGTCCCCTGCATCGCTCTGCTCAGGAGCCAGGGTTGCGTGGTGAGCACCCCACCAGACTGAAGTCGCTGAGGCCTCCTCCAAAGCACAAAAACAGAGGCCCTGCAAGGGTGCGGGCCCTTCCGAAACTGCACACTGCTCCCTGGGCCCAGCTCTGTGTGTGGGGGGGTGCTGAGCAGGACGGTGGCAGAGGTGAGGGAGAAAGGCTTTGTGACAATGACAACTGAAGGGACACTAGGCAACCAGCTTGTGGGGTTTTCTAAACCTTTTGAGGGGAGGTGAATCACTGGAGCGGTCATGTGAAAAATCTTTCTCCTCCAGCCCAGCCATTCCCATGGGAGGTAAAGTCACTTTTTCTTGTGCAAACCCTCGTTCTAACTGGCCAGGACTCCGCGGCTGGGAGAAGACGCCCGTTTGCGGGAAGAAGTTGGATTCTGTAAGCTTGGAGGACAAGGGGCTGTGTCACATCCATCGTTCACTGGGGACTTTGGTTTCAAGAAAGACTCAAGTGTGTCCAATTTCCTAGAACATCGTTAGAGAGAGGGGCTCGGCCCGGCCACACCAGTGGTGGAGGGGCTCAGGGGAGTGCGGCCCGGCGTGACTGTGCTTGGGGCAGCATTACCGTGTGGGGCACCCCAGCCTCGCTGCCTCCTGGGGGGGTGTCTGCAGCTTTCCTCCACCTGGGCCTCAGCACCTGGCACCCGTGCCCACCTGCTCCGCCGGGCGGGCCTGCACCTGCAGGCAGGGGCAGCAGACACTGAGCAGCTCTGGGTGTGCCCTCACACCGCGCCCCCGTCGCCCCTGGGCCAGCACTGTGCTGCCCGGGCGGAGCACTGTCACCGCGCCGCTGGGACAGCCCGCCTGTCTGCAGCTTGGGGTGCAGGGATGCCAGACGGTGCTACTTGCTTTGATCCAGGCAGCCTGGTTCTTGGTACTGTTTCTGGAGCAGAAGGGTGTGACATCGGGTCCTACCCATGGGTCTCAGCCCGAGACCTCAGGCGCCATGGGCCGGCCCTGGGACAGCAGCGTGGGGAACGTTCCAGGCACTCGCTCGGTGTCATTGGAGTGCGAGAGCCTAGCCCGGAGCCAACCCCGGTGTCTGTCCTGCTCCAGGTCTAGCAGATCAGCCAACGCTCCTTCAACTAGCTCTCTCTCCTGTCCAGGGACACGCAGATCAGGAAGGTTCACCTCCCACCCCAGGCCCGCTTGCTCTTCTCACGGAGGCAGGAAGCCGAGCAGGTGCAGGTCACAGGAAGGGGCTGCTGTCTCCCACCCGACCTGGATGTGGCTGCTGCCAGGTGTGTGAAAAACTCCATGAGAACAAAATGAGGAAGCTGATCCTTTCTGTTTGACTTAGAAAATGATTGCAGTCGCGGACTGGTGCTGACAGGTCAGTCTCCCTGACAGTCTCCCTCCTGTAGTTTTCAAGAGGACACAGCTGGTGGAGTGGGGGCAGGGGGCATTGGGCCGGGCACTGGAGCCTGGCCAATGGGCAAGGTAGAGCCCTCTGGCCGAGGGCGGGGCCTTGGACTTGACTCTAAACTGGGCTAACTAAACGCCTGGGTGTGCCGGCAGCGTGGCTGGTGCCCATCACCCACGCCTCATGTTAGCGGCGCCCCCTCCACTCTTGAGTGCAGGTTTGGATGACGAGTTCTGCGGTCACCCTAGTCCACAGGACAGAGGACTTACGGCTAGACACAGTGCAGAGAGTGGCACATAGGACATGGGGCTTCAAGAACATCAGTTTGGAGAAGGACAGAGGCAGGCGGTCAAGGGCAGCCTGGTTCACTCTCAGGTATGTTTAGGATCGCAGTTGCTGGTGATGCCCAGGCGTAGACTGGCAGAGTGTGGATGCTGGGCGGGTCTCCGGAGTAATCTCATTCGCCTCTTTTCCCAGAAGAGGACACCGGGCTGAGCAGAGAGCAGTGACCCGCCCAAGGCCACGCCTGGTTCCTGCAGAGCAGGGGCAGGAGCTGCCCTGCGGGTCAAGCCCGATGCTCTGTTCTGGGGCAGAGGAAGAGGGATGACTCAGAGATGCTGTGAGGGATGAACGGATGCCCGGGTCTGGCATGGCAGTCCCAGGACGGGGAGAGCCTCAGACTGTGCCATGGCTCTGTGGCCGAGGAGGGAGGACAGAGGCAGGGGAGGGGGACTGCCACCTGCCGAGCCTGCTTGGGTGTGGACCAGAGCTCAGACCTGAGTCACAACAGAGTGGTGGGTGGAGCCGAGGGGCACAGGAGCTCTGCAGGGACCTGAACGAGTGAAGACATAGGGAAGCCTGGGGGTGAAAGGTAAATGGGGTCAGATAAGTAATTTATAAAGTCTGGATCTTTTGTATAGTTCAAGCAGTGGTGCAATCTCACGGAAAGGCAAACCCCGGCGACAGCTGTCACGCCCTCAGCACCCCTTTCCAGCCCCTTAGCAGGCTGCAGGTGGGACCATTCAAAGTTGCTAGCAGCCGTGACCTCTCTACTCGGAAGGTGAGTAAACTGAGTCATGGCGAAGCGAGCGCTCTCTAGGCCATGGCGTCTCTGCAAACGGTGTGATTGACAGCAAGCCAAGAGCGACTCCATGAGCTGGCCACAACAGTACGTCTGTGGTTTCACCACAGTCTCCCGCCCGCGTGGCTCTGGTGTGGTGGGGAGTTCGTTGAACCTGGTCACCGGAGTGGAGGTCCCTGGAAGAAGGCAGCCTGAGGGTCCGGAGACCCTCTGGTCCCAGTTCTACGGCCCGCTAACTCGGGGGGTGATGGAGCGGAGTCACTTCTCCCTCCCTGCTCTTCCTGGTCAGCAGACGCAGGCGCCTGCCTCCGCCCTCTCCGGGGTCTCAGACCGTGAGTCTGGTTTTCCAGGGGTGTCTGACCTCGACTCAGCAGGAGGCTTCCTGTTCATCTGCAGTTTCCCTGCCGCCGCATCCAGCGCTCCTTCTCAGTCAGAACGAGCACCTGCCACAGGTCTGTCACCTCTGACAATGTGGGGACGCAACAGTGCATGCAAACTGCCGTTTTTAAAAACATCATATTCGACCCAGATCAGCATTTTCTGCCTGCAACCACCTTTCACCCCACAGGGTTGAGGCAAGTACCTGAGTGTGCCTGCAGGTCGTCTGCAGAGGGACCAGCTCACCCGAGTCAGCACACGAGACTGCAGGCTGCCTGCAGCCACAGTTCTGCCGTCCCCCCAGCAAGCTCTCCCCCAGAGCACACAGATCCTGCACCCACGGTCACACCCACATGGCGCTCTCCAATATCTGACATTAAAACCTCAGTCTCCTGAAAAAAAATCACAGAACAGTTTCAGTATATTTGAACCGAGCACAGGTTCAGTTCAGTGAAACTGCTTTGATGACGCCTGTTCAAGTATCTGCAAATATTGAGGAAACGTCCACAGACACCGTTGTCGGTTGCCACAGTCTCACAGACGGCAGGAACCCGCACCAGGGACACAAACACCGAACGGCGCTGCAGAGAGGCACAGTCCAGACAGTCAGGCAGGATGGGAGGGCCGGTCCCGACACCAGCCCTGGGCTCTGCCCTCTCTGCCCAGCACGGCCCCAAGCCGCCCATGTGCCCCCAGGGGCTCACAGCATAGTGAAGACGGGACAGTGGCAGACAGGGCTGCACAGGACAGGGAGAAGGGCCAAAGGCTCTGTGTCCCTGTCACCTTGAATAGTGATGGGCTCAACTGTTGCTTCAAGGCCACTGCCACGCATGCTGTACCTGGCCTCAGGGCGGGAAACCAGAGCCAAGTGTGGAAAACCTCAAAATACCCAGAGAACCCCACGTGCCTGGACGCGTGCCAGTCACAGTTGGGTATGATGCGAGGTCTCCCAGACTGACCCAACAGCTTTGGGATCGGCACTTCTTTATTAGAAGAGTAACATCTCTGACAGCAAGAAAAAAGAAAAACCACCAGAAATATCACATCTTGGGCAAATGAGCTGAAAATCCCTTAGAGTGACACCCTCCTTTTCCACTCCCGTCTCCCGTCAGAGGACACCTGGCACGCCGTGCAGGTAAAGACACGGGATTCCTGGCACACGCGGTTTCCTGAGGGCACAGAAAAGAGTGATGTCACGGAAATGGGGGCCTCCAGGCCAGTCTAAGCAGTGTCTGGGTGGAAGGACGTCTCAGGCGTGCGTGGAAAAGCACACGTGTACCCTGGGGATTCATTGGTACGCGTGTCCTGTTTTCTGCCTCAAAGACCAAGTTTTCTTCAGTGCACGCCGGTTGCTGGCCAGGTTTCCCACACTGGCTCACCTGTGTGTGCCGCCGGAATGTAGGTCACACCCCACCTGTGCGTCCTGGTCACTCAGGAGGAAATAAAAGCATTGCTACCAAGAAAAAAAGCGGTCTGTCTTCCACTCAAGGTCAAGGAATCTATGACCTGAGATTCCCTTTCCAGTGGGGCATATGAACAGGCTCATTTGTGTCGCGTTCCCCAGGGTGACGGAAAGCGAGGCTGTGGCAGACACTGAACGTATGGAGTCCTTTGTCTTAATTAACAAGTATGGCGAGAGTCGTGGAATCCGGCCAAGCCTCATAAATCTGCTAAAAGAATCAAGACTCTGTCAGAGAAGCTTAACTAGAACCAACTGAGCCCTCTGGAGAATTAATAGACTCCCCGATAGTGGTTGACACCCACTCTCCTGTCACTTTTCCGAGCTCCACAGACACGGCTGTGCTCATTAACCAGCAACCCTCCTCCCCGCCGATGACAAGTTTATCCCCGCCGAGCACAAAGTCCAGAGATGATAAATGCACTCCTGCTTGCACACACGAAGCCTCCTCGAGGCAGTGCAAATGCCGCAAGCCTGCAGGAAGGCGGACTGTGATAACCTACCTTCATTAGCAGAGCCTGGTCCGCGCCGTCCGGACAGCGCCGCCCCGCCAGGGAGAACTGCTCTAACGTGACTGGGAGGGAAAAACAGACAGGGTGAGGGACCCCCCGCAGACCCGGGCAGCTCTGGCAGCGAGGAGGACGTGGTGGTCTCTCCCTGGTGACATGGGACGGCTCCCACCTGTCCCGACTGGGGTGGGGTCAGCACACAGCGACTTCCCACCATGTCGGCGGGCATAGTGACATCAGAGCACGTGGCCACTACCATCACCCGGACTCCATCCCGAACCTTGGGGGGTCCTGGATTCAGCCACCATATGGCCCTGCCTGTCCCCCAAGGCCACATGATGTCCCCATGTCCTATAACCTCCATCTAGGGGGTTGCACCTGCCTTTGCGACTCGGGAAGGGCTAAACTGTGTCTCAGTCTTCCATGAGGATGGCCAGAGCTGCAAGTTTTCTCTTTTTAGTTTTCTCTTGGTATGAACATCACATGCCCCCGGTGTTGACTCAAGCAAACTAGCCCCCCCAAATATTTAAGTCATGTTTCCCCAACCATCCTTTCCCCACAGAACGGCGATGACAAACTCAGAAAGGCTTGTGAAAAATATATTTTAACCATCCACTGAAGTGGGCTGTGGATGCAGCACCCATCCAGACAATTGACACAAAGGCGCTCCTCATCTCCACATCCATGGCCCGTCTCAACAAGGCTCGCTCCTGTGAGCACCCCTTTATTTAGGTCGACATAGCAGCAAACCGCACACTGCCTGCCTGCCACGCTTATTTCACGGTAGCGTTTCACGTGAAAGTGTCCCATGTGTTCCTGCACCCTCAGGTTCAAATCCACTTCCTCGACAGGCCATTAAGGCTTCGGCTCGTCGATCTGTCTAGACAGGCCTCTTATTTCCAGACTCAAAGTTGCTGTTCACACTCCACCTGTCGTAACCTGTCACTGCCATCTGCTGGGCACAGCCCCACCTCTCACCTTGGGGCACCGCAAAGCTGCCCACTTCCTGGCATCCCTCTGCCTGCCCATCCAAGCTCTCAAAGCCATTGACGGCCCGGGGGCCAGCCCAGTTCCACAGGGCCCACAAAGGTGGCCAGAGCTCCCCCAGCCTCGCTCACCGCCGAGGGACACTTTGCCCATAAAAGGGGCTCAACAGAAACTTGGAGCACGAGATAATTCTACAAATGCGCTGGCCCTCTCCACTGGGAACACACCAGCCCATGACTGACCCTGGCCACCACCATTAGCCCTGCTTTGGACTTTTATTTTTTAGTCCTCACCCGAGGACATTTTTCCATTGATTTCCAGATAGAATCGAAGGAAGGAAGGGAGGGAGGGAGGAAGAGAGAGAAACATTGATGTGGGAGAGATATATCGATTGGTTGCCTTCCGCATGACCCCGAACAGGGCCAGAGATCAAACCTGCAACTCGGGTACATGCCTTCGACCGAGAATCAAACCTGCAACTCCTCGGTCCACAGGCCAGTGCTCTAACCACTGAGCAACTGGCCAGGGCTGCCTGGTACTTTTAATGGGACCTCATCAGTGTGACAAAATGTTGAATCCTGACTATTGCCAGAGTAAAGAATAATCTACAAATTCCTTGATCTTGTAGAACAGGGTGGAGAACCTTTTTTCTGCCAAGGGCCATTTGACTATGTATTTATAACATCATTCTCAGGCCATACCAAATTATCAACTCAAAAATTAGCCTGCTATGTTTGGTCACGCATTAATTACCTCATCCCTAATGTGGTGACTGGACCTGCTTCCCTTTGCACAGGCGTGGGATGTGAGCCGGGGTTGATGTTGCCACTCGCAGCTGCTTCTCCAGGTTTGCGTTGGTCAGGCCGGGGCACAGTGGACTCTGCAACAGCAGATCTGGAAAAGAACTGCTCGCAGCAGTAAGATGTTCGAACACAGGTGCATATTTCAATGCATGGCTCCTCCGAGTGGGGAATTCATCAGTTACGTAACGTTTTGAGAACTCAAGCAGCGGGAGGTGGTTGCACCTAGCTTTCAGCTCATCATCGCTTTGCAGCTGAATGAGTTCGTGTGGTAGGTTACCAGGCACGTCAGCTGGCTCCACATTGAAGGTGTAGCAGATGTTCAGTTCCATTTGTTTACTTTTCACGTGCTTGAATCTTTCATTAAATGCCTCAATTAGTTTTGCATATTCACCAGCATATTCAAGTGTCATAGGAGGCTTTTGTCCTTCCAGGGTGGGGAAATGCACCGTGTTATTCCTTTCGAGTTGCACTTTCCACAGCCTTCATTTTGTTTCAAATGACTTCACTTTGAAAGTAGGGAGCTGAGAAGCTGGTTGGGATCCTGCAGCTTGACGTTCAGCTCTGAGAAGTAATGTCCACCGTGATCACTAAACCACACTGACATTGCTGTCACTGAGTTCCCTGACAGGTTGTCCCTTCCTCTCCATGAACTGCTTGACTTCATCCCGCAGTTTGTAAAACTCCACGAGCAGGTTCCCGAGACTCAGCCACCGCACTTCACAGTGATAAACAAGATCACCTGCTCAGAGTCAAGGTCATTCAGTAACTCCTTCAACTGGCAGCTGTTAAACTCTCTGCTTTTGACAAAATGTATGCATGACATCACTGTTGACATCACATTGCTGAGTCACAATGACTGTGCAGAGACTTTCTGGGAGTAGGATGCAGAAATTAACTCACTTGGCTTAGAATTAACTCACTTGGATCAAGACAGACGATTCAGTTCTTCCCTGACACATGCAATGAGCCCTTTTCGTGAGCCAACCATGGCTGGAGCTCCATCTGTAGTAAGACCACTTAACTTTTCAAATGTTGGCTCAAGTTTTCTCATTGGAAAAACCAGTCTCTCAAACAAGTCCTCACCTCTTGTGGTGCCATGCATGGCTTCCAGGGACAGCAGTTCCTGTCGCGTGTCGAACTCTGCAGTTATCCCAGGAACGAACACGGCCAGTTGGGCAGTATTTGTTATGCCCGTTGTCTCATCACAAGCCAGAGAGAAAAACTGGAAATCTGTTGCACGATCCTTCAGTGTTTTTTCAGTATCTTGTGCTAAGTCAGTCATCCGATCTGAGCTGGTTCTCGGAGACACGCTAACATCCTGAAACCGTTTGATCTGTGTGTGCTAACAGCTCGCAGCGGCCACCACGCTCTCACGGACTCTGCCTCTGCACGAGGCCTCGGCTGCTTTGCGATTAGCTCGCTCACGACACAACTCGTCTGAATAACGTTGTCTCCGTCACGAGGCCTAGTGAAAGCGGCTTATTGTGATTCCGGACTCCGCGGAAGAGCATTGATTTTATCCAGACGCATTTGGCCTCCCAATTCATTGAGTTTAGCATGTTTTGAGCTGCCACGATGCTCCAGATGGGCTTTTCTCATTACTGCTAACGCATCGCCACAAACCAGGCACGCACGTTTGCCTTTGACTTCAACAAAGAATAGGCATGTGTCCATTTCTCGTGGAAAGATCCACACTCCGCATCAACTTTTCTTTGTAGTCTCCATTTGTAGGATGTCACACCACTGAAGTTTTAATAACTATCCAGTGTGTATGTCACCAGCGACGCTATTATTTTGCTTTGATCACTGTTCTAATCCTGCATCTTAGATTTGGAACATATCCAACGTTCGTATCATCGACTCTTCAGGTCTTTTCTGTGTACTGTAATTTCCTTAATCTTCATCTGAAATTGTGAGGGTTGCCGATCGTGGACGTGTGGAGTAAGGTTGGCGTCGTCATCTGTGTCGACAAAAAGTCGACAACATCGCAGAAGGCAAGGTCGTCCATGTCGGGAGGAATCCTCTCATTGCATCTCATCTCACCATCACCACAGTGTGTTAACACTTTCACAACACGTATACACTCCCAGCCTGCCTGGCAGTGACTGTCCTCTGAGTCACCGCGATGCAGGCAGACAGGCGGTGAGCAGCTGACGAGAAGCATACGTGTCTGTCATGTACTCGTATGTGTCCTGTCTATCCCGTAACGGATGCTCCTTGCTAGTCCCTCAAATTTTATGTTTTTATTATGCTTCACTTAATATAAATTTACGTTGCTATGAAGAAAGCTCCTAGACTTATTGAATTTTGAGTCCCGCCTGTGGTCGCCTCGGCAGGGCCAGCCCGAATGATTCTGTGGGCCTCAGGCAGCCCCCACTGTTTCAGAAGACGGCTCTATTACTTGGTGAAGGTTTGTGCTGCTACTGGCCATGGAAACCTTAGTACTTGCTGCTTGGCTGCGGGTCCTGGCCCTGTCCCCACCTGGCGGTGACCTCCCCTTCAGGTTGCCAGCTGCCCATGACCGGATCCGCGGTGACATTTCTAGGTGCTCAGAGACGTGGCAGCAGCTGAGCAGCGCTAACCTTGAACTCGGTACATCCAGTCCAAACCAGCTGGCTTCCAGGCCTGCCCCCCCATTCCCATGGTACTGTCGTCCACCAGTCGCCGGGTCTGCTTCCCTCACGTCCCCCCGCCTGCTGACCGTTCCTGCAGTGTGTTGGGGTCGCCCCTGCCCCAGGCACAGGTGCCACCTTCCCCCCTGCAGAGCCCTTGTAACTCGATGCCCAGCCTCCCTCTCCCACCACCTCGCCCGCTGCTGCCACCATGGAAAACCTGGCGCTGCTGGCGCCCACTCACCTCCTCCCTCCCCAGGCTCAGCCCCGCCTCCAGGGCCCACCCCCCCTCCCTGGCGGTCCTCACGACCATCACTCCAGGCCAGGCCTTGGGCCACGCGATCCCCTCCGTTTTACCTTCCCATCTGCTCAAATCCTACCCTCTCTTAGCCCAGCTCTGCAGCGGTCACCAGCACAGGCCTGGAGTCAGATGGACCGAACTTGAAACCTTCATTCCGCCACGGCCGGCTGCAGGTCCTTGGCCAAGTCACATCCTCTCCCCGAGCCTCAGTGTCCTCATCAGTCCACGTGCAGACGGGGCAGCCAGCTGGAGCTGGTGTGAGGAGGGACGGGGGCTGCCTGCCAGGGGGCAGCGCCTGGCCCGGCCCCAGCACCCCGTCCTGTGCCCCTCTGAGAAGCTTTGTCCATCTCTCCCTGTCACGC